TGAAATTTGAGTTATAAGACATTAGAGCAGTTGTGCTTTGCAGTTGAGAAAGCCAAGTCCCACAGAAAGGGACTGATTGCGGGCAGTACTGAGCCGGAAGTAGCATCAGAACTGGAAAGGCAGGTGCTTTAGCTCCCCTGCCTCAGTCCCGGCAGAGTTCCAACACCCACCCTGGTGCACCTACCCTGTTCAGAGGCAGAGTGAGGAAAGGGGTGGCAAGTGGACATTGTTGGGATCCCTTGGGAATGTTCATTTCAAGGCCTCTCAGGATAGAGTTCACAAACCCAGAGTCCGCTCTTATCCATTCATAGCAAATGTCCACGTTGCAGTTTATGATAGACTGCAACGGCTGCAAGTTGAGAATTGGTGTATGTTGCAAAGGGCACAACCCCAAACCAAAACTCTTGCCTGTTACCTGTGCCCAGAAATATTGGTTACCTTTGCTTTCAGGGGTTTAAAAGAATACAAACCTTACAGAAGAATAGGTTGTTTTTTTTGTTTTTTGTTTTATTTATTTATTTATTTATTTATTTATTTATTTATTTATTTATTTTTGAGGAGGGAAAACTGAATCATAAAAACCCAGTTTTGGCTCCTTAATGTAGTTAGAAACTTAAATCAATCAGTTGCTTGATAAAACAGTGCTGGGGTTTAGAACCTCAGGTCTCCTGTTAGGCAAGTACTGTCTCACTAGCTATGCCCACAACCTACAGCTGAGAGTCTTGAAGGGCTTCCTGTTGCTGTGTTGGTAATAAAATATATATGTTGTGCTGCTGAGATGACCCTTTTTGCTACGAAACCCTGATGTCCTGAGTTGGATCCTCACAGCCATGGAAAGACGCAAGGAGAACTGACTTTGCAAAGCCGTCCTCTGGCATGCCATGCTTATGTGTGTGTGCACGTTAAATAAGTGAAACAAAATGTGTCCTATACGGTGTGTGGTATGTGATGGGGCTTATGTTAAAGAGGCTTTCTGACTGGATTGAGAGAGGAAAAGTGGGTATGGACAAGTTTGTCATTTAGTAATTGATTAAATTCCCAACTGCAACATAAAGGAGGGTAAAGATTGATCTTAAATGCTTCCCAGAGGCTCTTGTGTTGAAAGGTTGGTCTCAAGCTGGGTGGCAGTGGTGCATGCCTTAATCCCAGCACTGGGAGGCAGAGCCAGGCAGATCTCTGTGAATTTGAGGCCAGCCTTGTCTATAGAGTGAGATCCAGGACAGGCACCAAAATGACACACAGAGAAACCCTGTCTCAAAAAAAAAAAAAAAAAAAAAAAAAAAAAAAAAAAAAAAGAAAGAAAAGAAAGAAAAAGAAAAAGAAAAAAAGAAAAAAGAAAGGTTGGTCTTCACATAACGCACTCTTGGGAGGTATGTAACCTTTAGGAAGTAGAGTTTAATGTAAGGCATTAGACCATTGGGGACATGCCCTTGAATACATACTGGGTCCTCTGCACCTTCCTGTCACCATCTCTTCCTGGTTGCTGTGAGATGAGCAGCTGTCTTCACTGCCAACTCTTCACAGTGATGCTGTCTTGCCATAGACCCCCCCAAAACCATAGCACCAACCAACCCTAACTGAAACTTCCAAAAGGTGAGCCAACAATTCTACCTCATAAGTCGCTTATCTCAGCTACTTTGGCACAGTGGTGAAAAGCTGGCATGTGTTTAGTAACTGCTGAGTGCTCAAAAACCGAACAGGGCCCAAGGAGATGGTTTGTTGATCTACTGTGTGAATATGAGGTCTACTGTGCAAACATGAAAACCTGAGTTTGGAGTCCTCACATTCAGGTCTTCTGTAACCCAGCACTGGGGGAGAAACAGGGGGACAGGAGGATCACTGGGGCTTACTGGACAGCCAGCCTATCCAAATCAATGAACTCCTCTGGCACACACACACACACACACACACACACACACACACACACACACACACGCCTACATGAACACGTATATATACCATACACACACAAATAAATGAAAAGCAAATATATGTCTCACTATACACTTACATTTATTCTTATTGTTATATATTTAACATACCATTGTTGTGGAATATTATTTTAACTAGGCAAAGATGTGTTACATTTGTTTCTGCTGCAGAATATTACTTTAACTATGTGAAGGTGTGTTACATTTGTTTCTGTTGACTTTGTTAATGGTGTAATGATGTGTCACATTTGTTTGTGCTACATTTGTTTAATTGTGTAATGAGTTGCATTTGTTTCATCTTGCCTGCCCACGGCACCTGATTGGTCAAATAAAAAGTTGAACAGCCAGTAGCTAGGCAGAAGAGGGATAGGCAGGGTTGGTGGGCAGAGAGAATAAGTAGGAGGAGGAATCTAGGCTGGAGAGAAAGAAAACCAAGAGGAGGAAGAATGAAAAAAGAACGAGGGAGAGAGGGACATGCCTGGGCAAGGAGCCAGGCAGCCACCAGGCAGCCAGACACTGGAGGGAGCAGGAAAGTAAGACACACAGAAGGAAAGGGAAGTAACAAGCCCCGTGGCAAAAGGCAGACAAAGAGAAACAGGTTAATTTAAAAGAGCTAGCCAGAAACGAGCCTAAGCTAAACCGAGCATTCATAACTAATAAGAAATCTCCATGTCAACATTTGGGAGCTGGTTGGTGGCTCGAAAGAAAAAGCTTGGTTTTCTTTTAATATCTCTGATTATAAAAAACGAGCTCACCTGTTTTCCTATGGAAACGCAGTTAGCGTTGACATTTGATTAAGAACCAAGTTCAAGTCGATGTCAGCTAGTCCAGCACCAAGTAGGGCAAAGCAGGTGGGGTGCTATGAATTCAAGGCTGCCTCGACAATATAGCGAATTCTAGACCAGCCTGGGCTATACTGTGAGACCCTGTATCAAAACAAAAAAATAAAATCCATGTTGGCTGCCGCAGGTGTCTGTCCCTAAGTGGAGCTGGGTGCAGGGTCCTGTGGCTGAGGAGCCCCTCCAGGGTCCACACCTCCACCCGCTGGGAAGACCTATCCCTCAGCCCCTCCTCAGCCGGGATGTGACTGACTGCTCAGTGGTGGCAGAGACTGGGTCGAGGGAGGAGTGTCTCAAGCAGAGACCCCCCCAGCTTAAGGTCTCTGAGGCCCCTGGCCTCTCCCAATTCAGGGTTGTGGGAGCCCTTTATCACAACCCTGCCCTGGCTCTGGGACATCCAGGGTGGTCCGAGTTTCTCTGGACCTGAGACACACAATTTCCTGAGGCATGGAGGAGTATCGACTCCCCTCATCCCGACCCCCACCCCCAGTAAGCTGTTCGCACTTCTCCCCGGGCAGTCTCTCTCTAGCCACTGAGTACTTCATATCTCTCTGTTGTCAAGAGATCCCCCCGGTCCCTAGACTGCTTCCGCCAGCCTCCATGCCCTGACTTTTTCCAATGTCACCCACAGCCCCTTTGGTCTCCTTTAATGCAAAGGGCAAGTGTGGATTGGTTTTACAGGCCCTTTACAAAGCGGAGTTGAAAATTGCTGGCCATGCATTTCTTCTCAGCAGAGTGGCAGCGAGCTCTTGTTGAGATCTGGGTGACCCACGTCATATTCTGGACGCCCCGGTAGGGAAGAGAGCAGGATAGGGGATTGGTGATCTCTACAGGAAAAGATGCTGAGAAGCATCCACAACGCTCAACATTTCCCTTGTGTTGGGAAGTCAACATGACTCAGTACTGCTGACCCTTTTCAGACTCCTGTGAATATTTCTAAATTTTTCTTGTTGCAAAGAAACTAAGTCCCCAAAATAGACTTAGAATCAAGAAACTTTTGGGTAGCATTGCGGTTATATTTAATTGAGTGACTTGGAAAAGAACCCAGACTCCTGTTTACACGTGTGAACCCCAAACCTAGTTTCACTTTCTCAAGAAGTTGACTTTCTGGGATTGATCCCAGTTACTGACTTGGGAGTCTATGGTGTGAGTTCTGGATTCATACCGTTTCCTGATAATCCCCACGACCATCCTGGAAGATCTTGATCCTTCTGGAAAGAGAGCCTATAATTGCTTTATGGGGCAACGGGCTGGGAAAGTTTTTGGGGACCAAAGAAGGTCTAGTTTTCCCGCCCTGCATTTTCTCAGATGATCAGGGAAGGACTCACCCAGGTATGAGGGGTCCACACTGTGATGTGTTTGTGGAACACAGGTTTCGAACTCAATAGGTAGCTGAGAATGACTTTGAATTTCTGATCCTCTGGCTTTCTGAGTGCTGGTATTACAGGCATGCGGTACCATACCTGGTTGAGGATAAGGGCTCAGGGCTCCCAGCATGCTAGGCAAAAACTCTACCAATTGAGCCCCATCTCCAGCTCACAAGGGCTCCCCAAGTCCTATTTATTTCCCTGCATTATGTATGCACCAATCTTGTTTGTCTGCTTGGGAGGTTGCTGGAGTGGGAACAGTGCCCGGTGCTTTTCTTTCTGCTGTTGGCATCTCCAGGTTTCAGAGCTTTCCCCCATGTGAGGGGAGTGAGAGCTGGTGTGCTTTGGTCCCCTTCTAGAAGCCATGGATTTCTGCTCAGAGTGTGCCTTGCTCCTGACAGGTCTTCAGGTTAATTGGCATTAAAGTTTTATGTTATGATATGAATCTGAAATGGTCTGTCTCAAGAAGGCTCGCTGTCAGTAATGGGGCTTTGTGGGAAGTGATTGGATCCTGACTGGCTGACTCTCAGGAGGAGGTGGTGCGGGTTGTGAGACTCCGGCCTGACTAGAGGGGGAGGGTTTTGAGATGTCCCTGGTCTCTACCTCTTTTTCCTTTGTCACATGCTGCCGTGCTCTGCCCTCCATTTCAGATGGCTGATCAAGAACTAAAACTCTGACACTGTGAGAGAAAATCAGTCTTCTCTCCGTTGGTTTTTTTTTTGTCACAGGAACAAAAAGTGATAAATATATACAGAGATTAAATTGTCTAGTCTTACAGAGTTCCTCAGAGTTAACTTTTTGTGTTTGCATATGTATGAGGTGTAATCGAATATATATGCTTCTATTTGTTTTGTTTTGTTCTGTTTTGCTATTTCAAAATGCTTTATTTTCACTTGGTCCCAAGACTTGGGAGGGGCTCCAGAGCAGTTACAAAGCTGCCTAGAGGTTCGGGTGAAGGTCCTGAGGCTGGCTGGTGCAGAGCAGAGGAGGGAGCCCCTTGGAAGGTGACGCCTCCTAGTCATGCTTGAGAGTGAGCCTCTCGAAGAGGTACTCGCCCAGAGATGGCGAGGGCACACCGGTTAGCGCTGGCTACAGCCCAGCCACCCTGTGGAGGTTCGTCAGGTGGTTGCCCGTCTTCTTGATGAGCTTCACCTCCTCATCCAGGAAGTGGTTTTCCAGGAAGTCACAGAGGTGAGGATCTGTGCGAGCAGAAGCCAGGGCATGAAGATCCAAGAGGGCCTGGTTTGGATTCTTCTCCAGGGCCAAGGCAGCTTCCATGGCCTCCTGGGATTTACCCCACTCATCTTGGGATGGCTGCTGCACATCCTGAAACAGTGCAGGGCCACCGCGATCGTTCTGCATCTTGAGCAGCTGCTCACCGCCCTCGCGCTTCTCCTCGGCCAACTCGTGGAAGAAGTGACCTTCACCCTCCAGAGCCACGTCATCCTGATCAAAATAGTAGCCCAAAGAGAGGTAGGTGTAGGAGGCCCGCAGGTGCAAGTTGACCAGGTGGTTCACTGCAGCCTCCACTTCGGAGGAATAATTCTGACGAACCTGGGAGCTCATGGCTGATACGCAGTATGGAGCTAACCTCGAAGACACGATGCTGGCTGCTCCTAGTAGCCAAAGGCTGCGAGGAGGTGGTCCCAGAGGCTGCAACTCGAGACACTGAAAGACGGATGGATGGAAGCTAACAAAGGGAGGCCCGGGGTCTGCTCCATCCAAACACTGTTGAAGCAAGACACAGACATGGAATCTCCGGGGCGCTGCTCTTTGTTTTGATTTTTTAAGACAGGGTTTCTCTGTGTATCCCTAGCTGTCCTGGAAGTAGTTCAGTAGACCAGACTGGCCTCGAACTCAGAGATCCACCTGCCTCTGCCTCCTGAGTGCTGGGATTAAAGGTGAGCACCACCAACCCCACTGGCTTTGTTTCTGTTTGTGTTGGCACGCGTGTGTACAGCTGTGTACATACACGCATGTGGAGGCAGGGGCCTGACTCTGGATCTCCTCCATCACTCTTCATTTCCTATATTAAGGCAAGGTGTCTTCCTAGTGCTAGAACTTGCTGATTTGGCTAGCCAGCCAGCTTCCTGGGGATCCAGTTTCCACCTCCTAGTGTGCTGAGGACCACGGGAGGGCTGCCACATTCGCTCAGCTTTTAGGACGTTCTAGGGATCCGCACCATTGGGTGGTAAGCACTTTGCCTGCTGAGTCACCCTGTCCCCCCTCCCAAAGTCAAGTCTTTGGGAGGGGGGACAGGGAAAATAGCAGCTTTTTAGTGGAGCCACTTGTAAGAGAACAGTTGTCTTGGTTGCTCTTGGGCATAGTTAGTTTAGTTTTGCACACCTGTGAGGCTGAGTTTACAGCAGATAGCAAGCTATTGGGAATCTTTACTAAAATAAAGGGATTTGTGGTGTGCCGACTTTTACGAGAAAGGGAGATGCCATCCAATGTCAGTCAGGTACTCTGCTGTGGATATTCACACACAGCCTCTGCTCCTCCTGCAGCATGACGCAGCTGCCTATCAAATGAAGGGCCTCTCTGCAGCGTCTTGAATTGCCATGTTTCCTTGAAACTTGGATCTGTGGTGAAGGTGAGACATGAAATTCCTAATTTGTGTAAGAAAACTGGCTCAGATGTTTGTGCTTTTACCATTCCATTACTATTTAGTTTCAGGTCTGTGGCAGGCATCAAGTCTTTTGATAGCCTGAGTAATTCTAGAGAAAAAAAAACAAAACACAGGCTGAGCAAACCATGATGAGCAAGCCAGTAAGCAGCATCCCTCCCTGGCTTCTGCATCAGCTTTTGCCTCCAGATTCCTGTCCTGGCTTCCTTCAATGATAGACTAAAATGTGGAAGTGTAAGTCAAATCAGCCCCTTTCTCCCCAACTTGCTTTTGGTCCTGGTGTTTCATTGCAATAGAAACCTGAACTAGGATGTACATTTAATGTATTTTGATCATATTCATCCTTGTCTTCCCTCCAACTCTCTCAAACTCTCCTCACCATGTTTCCCTCCTCATTCATGTGCTCTGTTTTGTTTTTGTTTTTTTATATATATAATCCACTGAGTCCTATTAGTACACAGGTTTGGGACCAACTACTGGAGCCTGGTCACCCTACCAGGGACCAGACCCTAAAGAAAAGGACTCTCACACTCCTCACTGTCGTAGTTCCCCAGCTAAGGGTGGGGACTCATGTGCATTCCACGTCCATGCTGGCATATTGACTGTCTTGATTTTCTGCAGGCAGCCAAAGTTGTTGTGAGTCCATGATTGTAGCAGTTGTCCAGAAGTTGCTTTCACTCCAGTCCTCCTCCACCTGCCTCCTTTTACAAAGAAACATGATATCTCTTGCATAATCACTGTGAGGATGAGTGATATACGCACAGTGCCTATATATAGTGGCACAAATAACTGTTGGCTAGGTTTTAAATAGACCCTATCCCGTTTTTTTTTTCTGTTGTGATTTAGTTGGACACATCTATTGTAGATGTTTTCTTCCCTCCTTTCTGTTTTGTAGATTATAGCTTTCTTTGTTTCTACTCATTTTTTCTCAGTAATGACTTCTACAGATTTGTACTTACAAAGTATAACCCCGTTCTAGGATCTTAAACATTATTTTTAAATTCTTTTCCCACTTTTTCTGGATACCCCACCCCTACCCCATGCTCAGGTTTGAAACCAGGACCTAGCACGTGCTGGGCAAGGAAATCCCCAGCCTTTAGGTTTTCTTTAGACAGGAGCATGCTAGTTAGCTCAGGCAGGCCTTGAACTCTGTGTAGCCCAAGCTGATCTTAAACCTTACCATGCCCTTCCTCCACAGTCAGTGTGCTGAGAGTATAGGTATGTGCCAACAAGAAAGCCCACTGGGTTATTACTAATCGTTTTATGCCAAAACATTCTATCTAATCGGGGTAATCAGTATCATTTTTTTTTTATTGATGCCACACTCCCTCTGTCCAGCACTATAGCCATCTTTTCCTTTGCATTCCAAGGTATTATTATCAGGGAAAGAGAGACTAAAGAAGCATAAATAGCTTTGGATCACCTTGGCTTCCTAGAAGTGCCAAATATCACTTTCATAGTTCATTGGCCTGAACTAGTCACATGAGACCAATATACTCATCAAGGAAGCTGGGAAGCTTAGGGGAGCACGGGGAACATTTTGCTGAACACCACTTGTCTGTACCACAGGGAGTAAGGAAGTAACGTGTTCTTTCCATGTTGTCTCAGCATCCCTTTACTTTCACTATAACCTAAAAGTTAAAGTTTAAACAATAACACTCATATTCCACAAGCCCTAACAAATGAGAGGACTGTCATATTGTCTCCATCTGTTTATTTTTGTAACAGCTTGAATGGAGCTATAATTTACATAACATAAATTTCCCCTTTGGAAGAGAAGATTGAGTGGGTTTTAGTATATTCAAAGAGTTGTAGAAACATTACTAATATATAGTATTAAATCAGTTTTATGGCCTCAAAATGCCCATACATACAAAATACGCTGAAGTATTTTGAGGAATTGCCTGACCATTTTCCACGGAGTTCTGTTGTTGGGAGGGATGTCCTGATTGATATCTGCTCTGTCTAGTTGGTTTGCAGTGTGAATCCACCTCCTTAGGGTCTGCTGCTGAAAGTGGGGCACTGAACAGTCGTCGTCATTGGATCGTCTGTTCCTTTCATTCTGGCAGCTGTTCCTGATGTGTTTGATGTTAGATGTTTGTAATTGTAGCTTCCTAAGAAATTGTTCCCTTCACTCTAAAAAGCCCTTCTTTCTCTGTGTTACTTTTTGTTCAGTGCTGGGGGTCAAACCAGGACCTTGTACATCCTGGACAGTGGCTCTACCACTGAGCTACACCCCATTCCTTTTTTAAAAAAATGTAAAATAGTTTGTATGATATCTACACCACTATTTTTGTTGCTTTGGTTACTGTTTGAATTATCATATTTTCTTTTAACATTTTATCCATAAGCCTGTCTGTGTCTTTGAACTTAATGTCTTTTCATTAAAGTTTATCATGTTTAAATCTTGGCTTCTCTAGAATCTAATGCAGTTTATGAGGTAGAGCTTTTGATTGTTTTTCTTTTCCCCTAGCAGACTACCCAATACAAACAGAAAGAAATGAATTCTTGGTTGATTTGAAACACCAGTTCTACGGTATATATTTGGCTTATTCTATTATAACTTATGTAAATGGTTTAGTTATCAATAGCCTTATATTTTTATCAGTTTGTTTATTTCTTCAAAATTGTCTTCCTTTCCCAGAAATTGAAAATAGGTTTTATTTTCATACAGTATATTCTGATTACAATTTCTCTGCCTCGACTCCTTCCATTTCCTTCCCACCTCCCCTCCCATCTGGATCCACCCCCTTTCTGCCTTTCATTAGAAAGCAAACAAAAATCTAAGGGATAATGACAAAATATAATAAGAGAAAACAAAAACAAACACATTGAAATAGGAAAAAACAAGCAAACAGAAGAAAAACACTCCCCCACTTCCACCCCCCCATCCCCCACTCCCCTCACCTACCCCACCTCACCACCTCTGCACACACCAAGGCACAAGAAACATTCAAGAGTCCCATTGAAAATGCAAAACTGGAAGCCATAATACATATGCAAAGCAGAAGGGTTATAAAATAAATAGATAAATAAATAAATAAATAAATAAATAAATAAATAGATAAAAGTAAAAAAAATAATCGAGACAACCCTGAGAAGACATTTTGAGACAAGGAACCTCCAAAGATGCTGTTGAATTTGTTTTTCTGTTGTCTATCTCCTGCTGGGCATGCTGTCTACCCTTAAGAGTAGTTTTTTTTCCCTCCCTCAATGAGACTCCCTTGGAGTCCACTTCTCCTTTCAGCTCTAGGACCCCATGTGGTACAGACCCCTACAGGCTCTGTGCATGCTGCCTCAGTCTATGAGTTCCTATGTGCATCTGTCCTTCTGTGTTTTGAAGGCCTCTTTCCTTGGTGTCCTCCATCCTCTCTGGCTCTTGCCCGGGGTTCCTTGAGTCCTGAGAGGAGGGATGTGATGGAGACATCCATTTAGGGCTGAGTGTTTCAAGGTCTCACTCTCTGCATATCGCCTGGGTTTCTGGATTTGTTCCATCTGCTTGCAGGAAGAAGGCACTGTTCTATGAGTATAGCAGAAGGTCATTAGGAGTCGTTTTATCTCTATGTCTCTTTTGTTAAACAGCAGTATTTGGTTTCCCCTTAGGTCCCTGGGCTATCCAGTCTCAGGTTCTTGGTCACCTAAGCAGCACTGGGGGTGGGTTCCATCTCATGGAGTAGGCCTTCAGTCAAATCAGATGTTGGCTGGTGTCTTCTACAAGCTTTGTGCCGCTATTGCACTGGTACGTCTTGCTGGCAGGGCACTGCTGTAGACTGAAGGGTTTGTAGCTGGGTTGGTGCTCACATTCCTCCTTTGGTCACCTGCAGAGTACCTTCCGGTACCCAAAACACTAGCCAGTAGGGGTGAAGGCTCTATGTAGGCACCAGCTCAACTTTGTGTCCAGTGAGTTGTACAAGTGTTACTTTCAACAATAGGACCTTGGTGTCTGTTTATGGAGAGCAACCTATATAGCCTTTGCAATAGCCTGGGTTTATTAAGATCAATCCATGTGAGTCTATTTAATGGGTAATAGGGATTTATTAAAATATAAATTGAGGAAATACACTCAAATGCAGAAACAAGTGAACAACTGAAGTTGTCCTCTGCTCTGACCTGAAGTGAATCCACCTGGCAGTCCAGTCAGACCAGGAAGCAGGCAGCAGGGAGAAGGGGCAGGAAGCACCGCCTCCTTCAGGCCTTATAGCCCAAGGTCATGGGCAGAACAAATACCATTACATCTCTCTGTAGCTGGAGAGAAACTCTCCAGCTCCCGCCAAGCCCGGGCAGTCCTGCAGCCCACTTATAAAACAAACACATAGACTCATATTATTTAAACTGTTTGGCCTAATGGCTCAGGCTTCTAGCTATCTAGTTCTTACATCTTAAATCAACCCATTTCTATGAATCTATACCTTGCCACATGGCTTGTGGCTTATCAGTATCTTACATGTTGGTACTCATGGCGGTGGCTGGCATTCTATAGCCTGCCATTTTATCTGAAAGATGGTGTCCTTTGGTGTGTAGAAGCTTTTCAGTTTTGTGAGGTCCCATTTATTAGTTGTTGATCTTAATGCCTGTGCTATTGGTGTTCTTGTTAAGTGTGGAGGCCCAAGTTACTCAGGGTTTGAGAATTAGAGCTTGCTTTACCCAGCAGGGCTGCATAAAGGGATGATTTGACCATGGACATGGTTACCAGGTGTTTGGAAGGGTCTACATCTGGCTGTGCAGTGTGCTTTGATCTAGCAAGGGGGAGGTCTTTTGCCCCTCCCCTTGGCATTGTTATATAAAGCTCTTTTGAACAAATGGAAAAGGCTGTTGGGTATTGACCCAGGGCCTCCCAAAGCTATCCTGTGTTTCTGTCTTTCTCCTCTTCACTGTCTTTCTATCTAATATTTTCTTATCCTTCTCTCCTCTTCCTAAGAACCCTTGAAAAGGTGGGCGATGGCCTCCCACAGTTCATAAAGTCTTTTCCTGTGCTATTGAGTTCAAGGTTATTTGCTACTCCCTCTTCTATCAGAGTAAGTATATCTGACCTTATGTTGAGGTCTTTGATCCATTTGGAGTTGAATTTTGACAAGGTTGATAAGTATGGGTCTATTTGCATTCTCCTACATGCAGCCATCCAGTTTGACCAGCACCATTTATTGAAGATGCTGTCTTTTTTTTATAATGTGTATTTATAGCTTCTTTATCAAAAATCAGGTGTCCATAGGAGTGCAGATTTATGTCTAGGTCTCCAATTTGATTCCATTTATTGATATACCTATTTTTGTACCAATACCATGCTGTTTTTATTACTATAGCTGTGTAGTACAATTTGAGATTGGGGATGGTGATTCCTCTAGCAGTTCTTCTATTATTCAGGATTGATTTAGCTATCCTGTTTGTTTTTTCTTTTTGTCTTGTTTTGTTTATATTTTTCCATATGAAGCTGAAAATTGTCCTTTCAAGATCTGTGAAGAACTGTGTTGAAATTTTGATTGGGATTGTATTGAGTCTGTAGATTTCTTATTGTAGGATGACCATTTTTACTATATTAATCTTACTGGTCCATGAGCATGGGAGATCTTTCCATCTCCTGGTATCTTCTTCAGTTTCTTTCTTCAATGTCTTAAACTTTTTATCATGCAAGTCTCTCAATTGTTTGGCTAGAGTTACTCCAAGATGTTATGTATTTTTGAGGCTGTT